GTGAAGAAAAGAAGCAGAACAACTCGATAAGAGCACGACCGTTTAAGTAACGATTTCTATGTTTTTTCGTCCTGCAGCTATTGTTTTTCACTGAACGGCGGGCCTATGGCAGAGCTGGCTCGAAGTCATTGGAAAAAAGGAGGCGTCACTGAACCCATATTACTCTGTAGCTCCCCTCCCTTACAATTTTCTTCCGCGAAATAGGTATAATACAAAGTTATTCGTCGCGAACCACACTATCCTCTCGACGCCCCTTTTCTAACGTCTGTACCTAATCGCGGATAGTGCCTTTAAACCTCGGGACCGCGCATTGTAAGCGTGCCACACTGTCTCCGCCTCGATTACACGAGGCCGTCTCTACCTTGGACTTGATCCAGCTTCTTCTCCTGATTCTCAGATATCCTATTTCGTGACAAGCGGACATGGATCCCTTAAAACGATAGAGCGGGAGATGACGGGCGAACTGAGCGCGACAGTCTTTCCATTTGTTGTAGACTCATGATGGCACCATTGGTGGAAAACGCTACCCTGGCAGCATTTTCAATCCACGCCCTATCGTTTTACGATGACTGTAAAAAGGCGTAGATAGCAGAGATAGTATAGATATAGATAGTACGGGATGGCATTCACTTTGCACTTCAAGTATGACAAACTTACATTTATCTTTGTTGATAATTCAATACTCTCCAAACAAAAAAACTATTCCTTAGTAAAAAAAACTCATATCTAATTGTCGATTAATGTAGTAAATATACATGGGCATTATGCGCGAAACAACTCAGATAAATCTAGCAGAGCGAATCACTCGAAAAATGCTTCGCTCTTCTACAGTTCTCTCCTGAATAGAAAAAATCATTGCATAATATCACTCAAGACAGCGTTCTGATATATTTGGCGCCCAGATCCTTAGGTGGCGTTGAGATCCTGAAAATAGAAAGGCGTGCGAAGGGTTAAGATAACGAACTATGAACCTAGATAACGAACTATGAACCTAACTCCTAACTACCTATCATAACTAGTATTTAAAAGCTATTCATTTTGTCAGTGAACAGGGAGTGACCAAGCAATCAACGCCGCTTAAAGTCCCCGCGCTCGAGCTGCTCATAAGGCTCGTTCCTTGTACAAGTAGTTTGGCCGCCATTCTCTAAGAATACTCTCTTTCCGAGCTTCACAGGAAGTTTCGAAGGCGCAGCAGCCCGCATAACTAGTATTAGTGAAACTTCTGTAGCCCCTAGTCGCCCCGCCCAGCAGAACTGGTCTTTCAATTTCAACACTTTTGTTCAGTTTTAACGCTGCTTTTCGTTTTTATTCGTTGTTAGGGCATCAGATGGCGGGAAGGATTAGCGAGCCAGAGGTGGCACGATATCGCTTCCCTGGCATAACAGGAACAAATCCGGACAACTTGCGCAGGGATGCCGTCGCGGTTCCTGACGATGTACTCCGATACTCATTACTGTGAACCTCATTTTTTTTGCTTTTATTGACCGCTAAGAAATCACTCATCGACCATTGGTTCGTTATTGTACACCACCACCTACAATATACAGTAGCCGGGTTTGTCTTCGAAGCGACAGCTTATGATACCAGATCAGCGGTGTGGAGTTCAAATATGAATTTGTAGGTTATAAAGACCTCATAAGTGAAAGAAGCAGAAAGCCGACCGCTCTTACAAAACGCTCTTACAGTAACCTTTCATCGCGAGCAATGTATGTGCGTGTACAGTCGTCATCCGGGCAGTTGATTAGGCGGTCAAAGGGTCGCAGACGCGGCTGCGGCGCGTCACGACCGCGGCGATCAGCTGTTTCCAGCCTATTTAGCCATTTTCTCCCTAATTTTCACTGTATTATTTATTTTTCTCAAGGTCAAGTTGTC